AATTAAAATCTGATGCAAAAAAAAATAAAAATAAAAATGCATTACACACTAAACACCCCACGGTTTAGTTCCAAAGTCACGTGAATATGCTATGACGCAACCTAAAGCATATACCATGGTAAGTTACATGGATAACACAACAACTTTCTCTGGCCTCAGCTGGTCGCCAAATACACACGTACGCCGATATTTACAGCCGACGGAGGAATCAAAGCGTGGCGCACAAATCTGGGAGACAGTTCTTTGGGATGGGCGTGAGAGGGAATAGGACAAGTTTACAAGATGATGCAAAGAAAGGATATAACCTCGAAGGGCGAGAAATTCCGAATTTTGGCAAGGAGTTTTACGAATTGGGCTTTTTGCGTGCCAAGACTTTGGTTGCGAGAGTGTTGGCGACACTATAAATACAAGTCAACTATGGAAGGTGCCGAGGTCTACCTCCTGGTGGTGATCTCCAGTATAGTCTGAGTAGCCAGGGCACCTAATCCACTTGGGAAAGAGACGCCTAAGACCACATTTCGCGCGGAGAAAAGTTGAAAGATGATGGAGGCATATCTGGATAACTCTAGGTTTTTTAGAAGTTCCCCTGGGTGAGTGTTCACTGATGAGGGTTGACTTGGGGTGAAGAAAAAGCCGCCATAACTTCGCAGTGGTACTTGCAAATGAAATCCGAGGCATGAGTGCTCTTCCCTTACGTTGAATCATCTATTTTGTACTTTTCTTTGATATTGTGTCATAGTTAAATAGCCGCATACGCAACTAAAATCTGATGCAAAAAAAAGAGCAATCAGTAGAAAAAATTTTGCGCTCAGAAAACAAAAAAGGGTGAAGAGGCTATCAACGTTTATTAATGGTCAAATGGAGAGGATTTGCGGAAGCAACTCGGGAACCTCGGGAAAACTTAGAAGAAACCGAAGCACTTGATATATTTGAAGCCAAATATGGCAATAAAGATAATATAGGAGAATACGCTGGTCCAGCAATAGGTCGTCGGAAGCAAACCAAACGAGATCTACTGGCATCATCAAAAAAAGTAATAAAATAAAAATAATAGTAATTTGTATAGCAGGGCCCAAAGTAATATTGCAGTTCAGATAAGAAGTGAGCACATTGGCCTCAATTATTATCTATATCGAAGGAAAGTCCCCGGTGTGATTAATCCAAAATGCCAGTGTGGATATCCGTTTCAAAGTGTCAGACATATGGTCTTGACGTGTCCTCAGTGGGCAATGGGAAGAGGAGAGGTGCTTCGAAAGGCAAAAGATAGGTCATTTACGGCATTGAAGAACAGCCCAGATGATATAGAGAGAATCACAAAATGGATCCTGGCAAAAGGCTGGTTTAAACCATTCCGGCTTGCAGGAGAAGTAAAAATAGCATTGGACGAAAAGATGGGACGATGTGCACAAGGATAAGACGGAATTCACACTGTATAAACAGTGTAAACGCACTGCCTGCAGGAAACAAATAGACACGAGACAGAAAGTTTATAGGGGGTTTTTACCAAATTTGGTTTCCTCCTGTGTAAACATTATAGCTAGATATACCTGAACGGGCTAAATGAAATAAAATCAAATGAATTAGTAATTTGTAATGTTGGGCTTTCAAATAACCAGAGGGGTTAATGTTACGAGCTGCTGCCTCATTTTCCTGGAACCGGAGTATATCCGGCTCCCAACAGGCGTCGTTCCTAATTTAGTTAGGATTATGTAATTGCTTATGGTAAGTCCAATATGCGACGCGTAGTCTTTACACTCTGGTTAATCCCACGTACATTATTTTCCCTCTAGACAGAAAATAAATATCATTTTCGACATATGTTTGCGAGAAGCTGACGTACCGTCCCTTAACATCCAAGGAGACGAAGAAGCAGGCTAGATATCTCATACGTCTTACAAGAGCCGTTAAATTTATTCAGCTATCTATGGTCAAATAAAGTGGCATATCTTTGTCAAATGGACCGGTGACAAAGATAATCTTTCAAAAGATTGAAGGAAAAACATACTCACTGATATTCCGACTGATGTCTCCTTGTGTGCCCACATATGTAATCTAGGCTCAGAAGCCTCGCGTTTATACCGCGCAATGCAATCGTCGCCCGAGCAGGTCCAAAAGACTTCTCGGTGTCACATCGACGGCGACTCTCCAAATATACTCTTGACAACTATGCCTACAGGCCGAATACGCTTCATTCCGAACCGAATCATTGCAGATCGGATGAGATGGTAGCTATTTTGAGATTTAATTTCCCGAGACTCAAATCTTGGAGAGTAGCGCATGCGAATTTTCAACTTGCAGTTCCATCCGGAGCTAAAGGAGGCTTTGGGTATTTACTTTTGCCGATGGTGCATGGAATGCCAAGAAGCAAGGATGGCTCTCGCGGTCCTATCCATCAAAAGGATATGAATCTACGGCCAAGTTTCTATTCATTGAAATTGGAAAAACAACCGTGTGGCAGGTATTCCAACCGACGGCGATCTCTGGTGCACGGGAGGGGAAATTCCCGAATGATAGTAGAGGCTGGGCACCGTGCTGGTGGCGATTGCTTGCCGAAGCCGACTCGGTACTCGCTGCCGACATGAGCAATGTACCCGGAAAGAGCCATCAGCGCTTATCCCTGCTACTCTGCATTCGTGCGCACGGGTTGCAAAGTGGCTTACGACAGACTATGAACCCAAAATACGCCTGTAATCTTTAATCATAGAATGCCTATGGAGTTTGTGGTGTGGTGCAAGTTGATCGTTTACCACCCTAATCCTAACCGAAAACTCCTAATTTTACAAGCACGCTTAGGGGAACTATTCTCAACACCTACTAGCGGTGTCCCCTTACAAGCCTCCATCCCTCACTGTAGTGTCTGCAGAGCCGAGATTGAGCAACGCCATTCTCACTTCGATTACTTTCTTAACCCAACCCCCTATCACCATCATCATGAAGCTAACCACGGTCGAATTAGATGGTGTGATCGAAATTCTGCTCATCACCAACCCTTGATCATGGAGGAAAACTCATCGGATGAGCTTTCAGGGCGTAGCCAGCACTCAATAAGGCGATAGTGGAATGGATTAAGTTGGCATCTAATGTACTAAAACAGGAAAGGAGCGCCGTATAAGGTGTGACCTAGGTCAGAGGAGCCCAATGTGCTAAATAGCCTGTAAATCAAACAGTTCAGTCAACAAATTCCTCTCTCTGCCTCTCCACACTCATTCATGAAACTGGGAAAGGCTAGCCCGAGCCAACGAAGGGGAGAAGCAGGCACCCTGGCGAGGGTGGTGTGTGTCCAGGTCACGGGACACTGCGCTGGAGACTAGTGGGCATCACATTACGTAACTATTGACTAGCCACCTTGTGATGAGATGGTTTTACTGTACTACTTGGCTCCATGACTATCTAATGCATTGGGCTCCTCTCTGACCCAGGCCACACCTTGTACAGAGCTCCTTGCCCCTTTGGTTACTTCAAAGATCATTGATATAGCGCCGATGGTAGATAGCCATTCAGCTCAGAACTTACCCATGGAATCCGGCCACCTTTTCCACGGAACTTTCTACTGGAAACAGTTAAAGTGGTAGCAATGGAAACTGCTTGCGTGGGGATAGGTCTCAGAATGCCTACGGTCCCAGCCAGGCAAGTCCTAGATACCGGGGCCACATGAGGTGCGCATATTCATCTATATCTCCCTTCTTTGTAACATTAGAGGCCGTCTTGGTATGATCTAGGTGTAGCTTAACCCCGATTGGTGGGAAGGGTGTGCTAAGGATTGGCAAGGGTCATGGGTTATAGTTAGGTGTCGTCTGTCGCACGTGAGGCAGAAATACATCCATTCTTTCTTACACATCATTTTTCCACATCTTTATTGTAGGGAGAAGTTTTATTCAAATATTTTACTATCTATTATTTACATACCCAAATAATATACAGAATTATCGGTTTACATATAAGTGTCAGAGTCAGCATTAGTACTGCAGGCAACCTCTTATCCTAATACAACTTGATCTAACCCACCATGGCCGTATCGGGTGCTGGGTACGCTCTGGAAACCCATCGGATGACTTTTCCCCCATGATAAAGGGTTGGTGATGAGCAGGATTCCGAACACATCATCTAATTTGACCATGGTTAGCGTCATGATAATGGTGATAGGGGGTTGGGTTAAGAAAGTAATCGAAGTGAGAACGGCGTTGCTCAACCTTGACTCTGCAGACTCTACAGTGAGAGCTGGAGGCTTGTAAGGGGACACCGCTAGTAGGTGTTGAAAATAGTCCCCCTTGGAGAGGCAGGTGTGCTTTGCTTTCCTCACTTCCATGCCAGCTGATCAGCTTTACTAAGCACAGCTCATGACAATGAGTCCCTCAGTCGGTCCTCGAAAAACGTGCAAGATTCTTTTATATGAAGATTCGAACTATAAAATCTGGTCGCCGTAATCTATCATTTACGTTCCCAACGAGAAATATTGATGAATCTTGAGGCATGGACTATTGGCCAATAAAATTCATGCCGGTATACAGGATCATTTGAGTAAAGATGTTTGATGGTTTTAGGTCGCAAAAGTAGAGCTATGGCATGTGGTAAGAATAAGTGCACAGCGAGGGGGACTAACTTTTGCCATAAGTGGTCTGAGTCTTGTTTAAATGAAACTATAATTATTATCACAAACATGTTACGCTGTCCCATACTGAGCTTTAATCAAACATTGGCCTTGACAATAGTAAAAGGCTGACCATATTTTCGGGGTTCCATGCAGCTCCGAGGCTGGCACTTTTCCAACCGGACTCCCACGAATCATTGAACCGTTGAAGTTTTCGATACCCGCTTCAGAAACGCCAAGCTCACAATCAAAAGAGCCTAAACCATGAGGCGCCATACCCTAATATCTCTGTAATATAAGACCTTTCTTCCTTGATGCTCCTGAACTTTGGAATAGCTATAGTATAGCTAACTGGATTTGAGCCCACTATATTTGACTGTAAACCAGCCAGTCTTTTTTCGTTCTAATTAGCCTAGCTCGTTGCAGCCGTTAGAGCGACGGCCGAGTGAACTTTCTGCACCATTTGATCAACAGAATTCCTATCTGAGCACACGACGACCTCTGTAGACTTCATTTCAATAGCCGCACTTTTCTCTGCAATGTTACCATTCGATATCGCGATTTTAGGAGTGACTTGAAGGACGGTGGCTTCGACTTTCTCCGTGGTAGGCGTGTGTGATGTTTGAGATTTGTCTTCATCTGTTGTCTCCTGTATAGTCAATAGAGCTGTTGTTTCGTTTGGCTGTTCAGTTTTTGCTGTTTCTGGACTGGATGCTGTTGTTTCTGATGACTTTGTGATTTCTGCAGAACCTGACGTGGGTGTAGAGGTATTTAGTCCGAAGAATTTCTTCAGAATCTTTTCTGCTTCTGCATACTCTTGCTTAAGAATAACGAGGGTGTTTTCAATCCTCTGCAAGCATTGTTCTTCGTCGGCTTCGTCTGCTAAGCCCTCATGGTCTTTCATTTGTCCAAAATGTTGAATTTTTTCACAGCTATTCTTTACTTTGGTCAGACCAAGAGTCGCCGAGGAACCCTTGAGAAAATGACCTAAGGAAGATAAGGAAACAAGTCCTTTGTCTTTCCTAGTGAGAAATTAAAATTAGGAGGAACTTTAAACAAGGCATAGTAGTTTTGACTTACAATGCTTCATCCATTCTATCGATCGTCGACTCTGCCTGTTCAAAAAAGCCAATGACGATGGATGTGCTAAACTCGCGCTGTTCTTCGTCGTCGTCCATTTCTAATATTTGCTCAAAAGTTGATGTGTCGATAATATCGCCACAGTCATATAGACTAGGTGACGCTTGGTTGTCATCACCTTCAACCTGACGTGGCGGGAGAGAGCCAGACATTGCGGAGGTTGAAGTGAAGAGGGGCTGGAAATAAGAGTAGAGGTGATGAGGAGTGTTATTAAATACGTAACTGTGGTCTCGCGACGAATTTACGAGAGGTGGGGAGCGTAAATGGTCGCCTCGGGGCGAGAAAAAAGGCGGCGGCGCGACCATTGTAGCGGCTCGAGATCTGCAAACGCGGAGATGAATTGGTGAATGAAAGAGAAAGGGAGAAATAGAGGGAAATGAGGATAGGACTCGAGGAGATTCTGAAGAATTTCAACTTCTAACAATTACGAACGACCTCATCGTACACCACCAATGACTGGGCGGATTGATTTGAGATACCGACACCTTGTAACTATATTCCACTATGATTAGGGCTCCTGCGACTACCCAGCTCAGCTCCAATGTTCACTTTCTAGCTGGGCTACTGCTTCGTCTATTCGTACCACCCGTTTCCACCAACCAACTAGCTTTGCCTATTATTCCGTGTCTCTGCGTAGCCATAGTCCATCTGATCAGCTGCTCCTGCTCTTCCTCCCCACCCGCCCGGACCGAATCGTGTCACGGAAATCGATCGATGATGTCAATACTCGCCTTCTGCGACAGGCGGGCCTGAAGTTTTTCCCGGCTGGCCTGGCTAGCTGGACCTTAGGGCCCACCTACACGACCATGGCAAGTCTGCGAGAAGGCATATGACGGTCTCTGACTTTAGAAAGGATTGAGCTGGCGCCAAGAGGGTACGGAGAGCTACTCTGCGGCGGCGTTTTTGTCCTCCTCCCCGGGGTTTCCTAGATTTCCTAGCGCAGCATCACGGCGCACTCTGGAATGGTATGAATTAAATGAAGGCCTAGGCCCTAATCTTGGCTGTCGCTTGGGAAGAGTATGAACAACAAAATCAATTTTAAGAGGCTAAAAGCGCTCGGCGTGACAGAGATGCTTGTTTCCGAGTAAGTGCCCTCCTCTCACTCCACTCGCACCGTCACAGTTGCACATTGTAGATCTACGCCAAACTGACACTCGCCATCTCTGGTCTGTGCGAGCTGTGTAATGGATTACTCGACACCAGCACAGCTCCGAGTCCCGAAAGCTGCGGGTACGTAGCCAGCTGAGCTCAGCCACGGCTAGAGGAGGGTGAGGTAGCAAAAAGACCATCTGTGTCCTCAGCTATCATCATCTTCCCGCAGGATCCATGGCTGGGAACCTTAGAAAGAGCCGAGTGTTAGGATAGCATACGGTAAGGCGACGCTAGCATTTGAAACCGACGAGCGGCTCACCTATCACTCGTCGCGCTGTCCCCCACCGCCGGTAATGGTGACGAATGCTGTGATGACGCACGGCTTCACGTGATACCAAAAAAGCTTATCTCCGTAGAGATTTGGCCATGTTCGGCTAACAATCTCTGAACGCTTAATGTTCTCACAACGCGCCTCAACTGCTCCCCGCACCCAATGCGAATATGACGATCCGCGACAGAATCATCTATCATGTCTACCCACATGATGCATCGTGTGCTGTTTGTCGTGTTGCTCACGGAGCCAGAAAAGAAATAAGTATATGCGACAACAATCCTTCCGCGTTCTAACTCGACGACTTCAGATGCCTCCTTGTCAGACGCTACGGTGGTCAAATCTCCTAGCGGGGATTTGAAGACCCACGTGCTCTGAAGTTTAATTCGAGGCAAAGCAAATATTTACAAGCCAGCTGGTACCGTCTGAAATCTGCCGTCATTCTACATGAGGTCTTTATAAGTACGCCAATAGCTACCCCTGAGATCTGTCGCCGCCGGGCCTGCTATGATGGCACTTTAATTTGGAAAGTCCGGACGCGAAGCAATGCTCCGTCTACGGTTTCATGACTCACTTCGTTTGTTCGGATTGAAGAGCTAGTCAGCTACAATATGGAGCCAACTGCCGTTGCTGCCAACTCTTACCATTCATCGGAACGAGATTGTGACAGGGTCATTTCCTTCCATGCAGCTAAATTCGCCGCGGGAATTCTTAAACGGTCAGGATATGAGAGGTCAAAATCAGCGGCTAAGTAGGGTGAGACCGGTCGCATTCCGTCAGAGGGCTGCGTCTCTCCGCATTGCTGCATTGTCTAACGCGTAATTTTCTTCCCAAATGATCCATAGGAAACATGCTGAACTATAGTTTCGTCATGAGTTGCGATGACGAACGGCCACCCAACCAGAGCTCTGTCTGCGGTTTCCTGGCTTCGGCAGCTTTGCGCATTGGTCCAATGCAACTCTCCGCACTGCGATGACCCGGACAATCCGTATTTCTATCGTCCTTGCGGTCGATGAGGACTGTGGGTACAAGCAGGTAATTGAGACTGTTATCGCTCGGGACCCACGATATCAGATTCACAGGGTGATCAATATCGAGATCTAAGTTAAACAAAAGGTTGTCTAGCCTTTCCTCTGTTGACTACTACGCTCTATATACATCCTGTACTATTGCCCTGAGTGGCGATCTCGTCTTCCCTCATTAATGATAAGACGTCGCTCGTACCTCGTCCCAAGCTCCTGATTGTCCGCGCTGTGGGACTCTCAGAACTTTGTAAGTGAGCTCAATTAACTGATGGTTATATCCATTAATGTTCACTGTTGTTTAAGGCTAACCTGGTCGCGGCTCATTCCCAAACGATAAAATTCAATAAATCTTCTGGTATCATTAAACGTCACAATACTTGCCCCTGTAACGTGACTAGAACACTGTGGATATCATGACGAGGCTGCTCCGCACACCCTTAAGGACCTGAAAGTAATGTCACTGTCATGAACATACGCTCTTACATTCGCATCCATGGTTCAGCGTGTCTTTCTTTAGGGGACAACCCTACTCGCAACCTGAGCTAATAGACCTGCTATATAACAAATACCTATACAGTTGCCACGCATCGCATAAAATTCTGCGCATCTTGGAGGGGCTCAACGTTGCAAAAAATTGACAGCTATCTCTCACGCTTTATCAACCGCTGCATTCTCATACATAATTTAAACCTGCCCACATTCGGTTGCATGGTGTGATGTAATAGAAAAGTATATAGGGCCTATGGAAAATCCTTTCCATCAATTAAATCAACTATCGCCGTCATCATCCGTTTCTCCACTGAAGATGCGGTTGTACCAATTGACCTGATTTGTCAGCGAAGATAATGATAATTACGCTATTTATAGATTGATCTACATATCACTTGAATAGTGTGTGTGTGTTTTATTGTGCTACTTGAGTCTATGACTATCTAGCACATTGGGCTCCCTCTCTGACCCAGGCCACACCTTGAACGGTGCTCCTATCCTCTTTTGTTACTTGAAAGATCATTGATATATTCCCCTTGATGAATAGCCATTCAGCTCAGTACTTACCCGTGGAATTCAGGCACCTTTTCCACGGAACCTTCTACCCAAAAAAAAATGGTAGCAATGGAAACTGCGTGCGCGGGAAAAAGTCTCAAAAAACCTGCAGCCCCAGCCAGGCGAGGCCTAGACACCGGGACCACATGAGGTGCGTATATTCATCTACATCTCTCTTCTTTGTAACAGTCGAGGTCGACTTGATCCAATCCGCCATCTCCGTATCGGGTGCTAGGTACGCCCCGGAAACTCATCAGATGGCTTTCCCTTCCATGATCAAGGGTTGGTGATGAGTAGGGCTCCGACCCTACCGTCTGATCTGATCGTGGTTAGCTTCATGATAGTGGTGATATGGGAATGTGTTGAGAGATGAAGACGATACAGACCGCGAAAGCGATTGGGAATCCTCGTCGAAGTGAGGACTTTGTTACTCAATCTTGGTTCTGCAGACTCTACAGTGAGAGCTGGAGGTTCGTAGGGGACACCACTGATAGGTGTTGAGAATAGTCCCCCTACACTGCCTTTCCAATTACTTGCATGGAGCCATGAGGGCGTAATCAAGAACTAAGATGATGAATTTTTTTATTGTGTAGAATCATTTCTGTTATTTAACATATGGACAGGGTTGAGCTTGTCAAGAGTTTGTATTTGAGATCCAGATGATTGACTTCGTTGGGTTGTACAGTGTGAAATCTCTTCAATTCGGACATTCGACGGAAGTTCTATTGATACCCTTTTCAATCGCTATTCCACCCAATCACTAAAATCTTCTCCTTTTTTTGATGGAATCTAAGGGTTAGAAATTATATTTCACCCCCAGATTCTTGGAGTTTACCATAGAAAGTTTTTCAGTCTTCGTGCTCCTTGCAGGACTGTAATTACAGTATGTGTGAAAAAATGCAACTTATTCATACAAGAAAGTATTGCCAAATATGTTGTGACTGAGTATCACTAGTCCTGACTTAGATGCCAAGACTCATTCCTCTGACACTAGCGTTAGCATTTAGACCATGAAATCGTTGCCCACAGTACTGTGGAGCGCTAGAACAATCACAAGTAGATCTGCTCATTATCAGCTGATTTTCATACTGGCTAGCTCTGTGTCTGCACAAAATTCGTTGATCCTTTTGTTTACGGAATATCATTAAGAAATTCCTTTGATACAAGTAACTGGTAATTAAATTTATGATCTAGTTAATTCCGACACTTCGAATCCAATTTCTGCCCTAAATGAATCGCAACAGCCACATAGAACCTCAGCAAGCAACTGGTCCAAATAGTACCCGTCAATCTCATCCCTCAATTTTGCCAGGAAACAACAACAAAAGCGGCATGAGCGGCGCTGTAGGCTTTACTGGCGGAGTCGGTGGATATCCAACGCCCATTGGCCACCAGTCTGATCTTAGTTTTGTCATGTCTCTGGTTGAAGATCTTTCACAAGTCTTACAGACAAATCAAGCTCTCACTGCTGGCGTCGTAGACAGAATGGGAAAAATCAGAGAAAAGGCTAAGTTATCCAATTTAAAAAATGAAGACATTATAGCTGCCGCTGCAACAGAGCTTAATGGTACGAAATTACAGTGTCCACTTCAAATACTGCTAACTGAATTACCCACAGAAGAGAGTAAGAATATCGAGAAGGAAAATATGGAGCTACGCTGTGCTCTTGAAACCTCTGAAAAAGACCGAAAGGAAAATTGGAAGCTTGCAGTACAAGGTGCGAACATTCTCACTGACATTACAGAGAAAATGCATAGATTTAAAGAGCAACATGAAGTCGATACAATTATTTGGCATAGAAATTATCGAAAGCAACTTGCCGCAGAACGTGAAGAGAACCTTAACCTCCGTTGTCAAATAAATGACATGAAATCTGCCGCTTGTCGAGCTAACGAGACTCTTCGTCAAGCTCGTCGCTTTATGAATGACAATGATGAATTACACGAGTTGAGGGTACAAAATATTTCTCTCCGCCAAGAAAAACGTTATTGGAAACGCCTTGCCCTTCCTCTTATCTCTGACGATGATCCCGAATGGAGTGACGACGATGATTTGATCGACTCAGAAGAAAAAAAAAGACTAGTGGCTCAACAACTTCGAAGAATTCGCATCGAGAGAGATGGACCTGATATAAATGATCTACCACAGATAATCTGATCCTGTTTACTCAGCTCAAAAACAGGAGGTCTTAGTGTTCGAAGTGCAATGCAGAGTAACGCACCTAACATATTGGGACTGACTAACTAGGCAATTCTGTCCAATTTTTCACGAGTTTGAAAGGTCCAGAAGCTCTTCAAGCACTAATTGCACGAAGTTACTAGGCTCACTTCTTACGCTACAAATAAGTTGTTAGTATCTTCATCTTTCAGGAAAATTGGGATAAATCTTGGAGGGAAGGATAGGATCTTACCCCTCTAGGTTAGCTTAACTATCTCCCAATTCATACAAAGATGAATGAATGATTGTATCTTTTCGTGTTGTCTGACACAAGCTTAATCATATAGATTTTGTGCGGTACAGAAGGAGAGGGTATGGAAGAGTCCTTAATCTCTGCTTGTATTTTTTCTTCCTAAAAAAGGAATCTCTAAGATAATCGAGATACTTGTGGGATCTAGCATGTCTCATTAGTAGCAAAATTTCAAATGATAAAAATATAAGCTAAGAAAACATGTTAAACACAACAGCTTGCGACAAATATTTCAGGAGAAAAGGCCGATTTACAAAACTAGATGCACACATCTTTTAATCCGATAACTTACGACTATAGGGATACGTATAGTGTGAAGGAATGAAATTTGGCTCTCGAAATAAACTAGGCGAAGCCCTGAGTGCTTCCAAGAACCTAATTTTTGATGGGAATTGAAGTTCCCCCACTGCCTATGACGGTCTTTAAGGCTGTGTACTTAGAGTAACAAATATTTTCATTTCCTGAGCTTCTATCCTCAAGTTTTATAAATGCAAGATATGATACTCACACTCGAACGTGGAGTACAAACACTTTTCTAGCTGTCTTATCTAACTTATCGCCAACCAAACCAAGCCAGACTACACATAAACCTATACGCCGGAAACACATGCGTTGCTCGAATAACCTGCATGCCTCCACGTTCCAGCCAGTTACCCTTGATACCGGCTGCCCAAGTAGCGCTTCCCAGGCTTGAGGACTCCAAAGGAGGGAGCCTCCGTGGATGCAGCCAGTCTCGTCTAACATTAGACCCACTATACGTGCATTGGGCTCAAGAGCGATAAGTTTACCACAGCTATTGCAGGACGCAGTCATTGAATTGGAGTATGAGCAATTGCCGCAACTAGAAAATCATCAAAAGAGATTAGCTGGCTTATAAAACTTCTGAACAGATGAATCAGTTGAAGAAACTCGAGTTCAGCTTACCAGCAGCCACACATGAGCTTATTTTTTAAATGAAGAGATTGGAGCTCCATGCGCATCAAGGTTACACTAAGCAATCCTGTCACTGTCATCCTCATATCTACGCGAATCCTATTTATTCTGGGTCAGAAGGTGCTTCACAGTAAATGCACTAATTATTAGCTAGGGGATGGAAGGTTCTCACTAACAGGAGACTCAATTCAGACATAGTTAATTGCTGCTGCTTGAGAGTCGTCTCTGCCAAAGACAGATCGAATAACTCGGCAGCTGAGTTCCACGTGAGAGCATCACATTGGGCCTTAAACCTAGCCCATTGTCGCAAATGAACAGCTTCGTCAACCAAAGGATCTATTTCAATCATTGTGTGCCGATTAACCTCTATATTTCCTCGTTTTGCTTCAGCAGCCTGCGAATTTGCAGCACGAAAACCCGGATTCGTTATCAGTAAAATCGTTTGTCCTGCATGCCATAGGACCGCGGAAGTACTGAGATCATTCCAGAGCGTTAGGCGATACTCGGCAGTTTGATCCATTAGAATAACATCTACAAGTTTTTGCACGCCACCACCATCTCGCCGATGAATCTGTTTAGAGCTACCTATACTCTTCACTAGCACGAGAATTTTAGCATCTAGAAAACAATCATGACCCAAACGAATAAAATTTTCTAGTGATATTAAACTGAAGAGCTTTTGATCACATTGATCGGCTGGTACACCATTACATTCAGCTCCTGAGGGACCTAAGGGATATATGCGCAAGTGATCTGAGGTCACCCGATCAGGAAATATATTTGCCGAAATAGACATAGTAGTTTGAGGCTGTAGATCACTCCTTGATGGTTTGGAAATAAACGTTGTCCAGGTAGTTAAAGGCTGCCCAAGCACGAAGCAATATTGTGAGTCGGCAAAGTAAAGTTTAATCTATGCTAGTGCTTTAGAATAATTAGATGGTGAGGTATCATGAAATTCTACTCACGCTAATTACGGCATGAGCATCTTTAATAATCAGGTAATGCCACCCCTTTGCCCTAGGATGTTTTGTACTGCTACCATGGCATGTACTAAAATTCACAATTATCCCATGAAAAGATACCGGTTTAGGGCCAGGGAGCAATTTGTTTATGGTCAATCTTTCATAATCGTGCTCGAGGTCCCACTTTTTTTGCGGCGGACTCGATACGTTGGCTAGCTCAGCCTGAGAAGTGCTACCCCACGTCTTTGACGAAATTTTTAAGAAACTAGCTCCATCTTCTTGAAGCAGTTGGTTATTTTGCGGTGGGTCTAAATTTTGCGTTCGTCCAGACATTTCTTTCGATGAAGTTTTGAAAGCGTTTTCATCAATGGTTCTCAAATGTGATGTATTAAACAAGTAAGCTGTAAGATAGAGATCAATTAAGCTGAAAGTAGGGGGTTTCGGCTATTGTTATCGGTTAATTCAGGGTTTCTGTTGAAAACTGTAAGATTTATAGACACTAAGTTCACTTTATAAGAGACAAAAACTTTGACTAATAACATGGCATGTTTTCAAAATTCATTTAATGACTATGAAATAATAACCTTCGCCAGTAGTGAACACGTAAAGATAGACGAGGAATGAACATCTTTTCGCGCATTTTCTCAAAATAGCTTATGCTCAAGGGTCATATCGTTCTGAGGCTCTAGACCAACACATGCACGAAAGATATTGACCAATGCATTACGCTGCTTTGCCAGAGCGTTGATCACTGGTGTGCCAGGTGGAGTAAGGGGAGCTTTAAGCATGAAGCTTAGGATGCTGAGTACAGAGTGAAAATTCTTGAAATCTTGTGGGGAACCTGACTCAATTTTCCACTGGATACGAGTCATCATCTCGGTGATAATTACAAGATCTATGATTAATGGAGATGCGAGAAGAGAGTCCTCACAAACGTTAAAGATACTATAGATATTAGCATTGAAGAGATATACGCATGATTAATCTTACGATATGGTTTGGTGACCTCCCATAAAGATTTCTGCATAATATTCATCCAGTGCACGTTTATTGTCGCCAACTGATGGCATATATTTGATGACGACTGTATGGTCTGGATGCTCCCCCTCCTTATATAGAACATGATTGGCATGAACCATGTCATCAACCACATTGGATTTAGAAATCTCTTTAGATCGAAATTGCCTTTGAGAACTCAGATTCTTTCCATCATTATTGCCTAGATGATTGTAGCTAGCTATAGATGTGAGCTTTATACCAGCACTTATAAGAAAATCGACAAGGGCAGATTTCATTTTGGTCTGACCAGATTTGAAATCATCACCTCCAATAAATGTATCGTGTTTCTCAGCAAGTTCAATAACTCCAGGGACGAAGGTGTTCTGAGGGGAGCCATTGATAAATGGAGCTCCCTCAAGAATAGACGCTACAGCAAAGATGGTTGAAGGTGATACCTCTTCATGGCCATTCTCTATAGCCATCAGCAAATTCTTGGCTGTATCATTGACGCCACAGATTATTTCAGAGAAGCGTTCTGTGTTAGCAGTCCATAATACCACAACTTTATCTAGATTATTTTTGGTTTTAAAATCACTTTTTGACGTCAGCCCTTGCATGAAGTCAAATCTATTAAGCGACATACTGTATATTTTTGCGAATTTCATTGACATGCCCGTGACATGCTTTATTACCCGGGAGTAAGTTATCAGCGCGGTCTTCCTGGTTTGCAGCAATAAAATCAGGATAATATATACTGGGAAGGGGCAGCATTTCAGACATTTCTTTCTTGACAGCTGCCTTGAGGGTTGGTTCAAGTACAGAAGCTCGATCCATAGCCTGGGCTAAATTCATTCCACTAATGTCCCAGCCACCAACAACAAGATCATTGGGGTGTACCATTGGTAACATTTCATGAAATGAAATATTGACATCCTGAGAGGTGCGATAATCAGTGCCAAGTTTAACGGTGGATCCCATGACAACCGATCCATAGTAATTGGCGGTTCGTGGGCCTTCTCTAGTATCCCATGTTAGACTATTTCGGTTGGCGATAATTCCGGCAGTTACAGTTGTTCCGTTATTCCCGCCCCAGCCCACAAGCATCATACCCATCCTAGGAACTTTTCGATCAACCTTGAATTCGTAAACAGTTTCTATGGGAATGGCAGTTAACTTCCCATCGGGAGAATTTTCTATATGAGTGGTGCGATATGTATACTTGGACTGAATCTCGTTTTCTGTATAGACTACATTAGGAGATCTGACCATGAAACTGTCTTTTTTTTCGAGTTTATTTGAACTATTTCTTTCCGAAGAGCCGGGTGCTTCTTCCAAATGAGGAGTCATATTGGTATTGTTCTAACTCTAGCAGTTACTTTTACTTCACTATAAGTGTTTCCGATGCACCAGCAGAAGGTGAGCAACGGGCACCCGCGAACGGATGGTGAGCTCTACTGAATATTAGCATTGATCACAGGTAGACATGCAAGTGCAAGAGATTGGGATCATATCTTCATGTCCATTCACGTACGAGTTTAAGAGATTGGAAAACGTTTTGACTGATTTTATTGGAAACCAGTCGGGTTGAGGTTACAAGCTGCTTAGACTTGAAGAATTGAGAATAGGAAAGTCTTGAGTAGTGTTAGAAAGAATTAAGTAGGTACAAAACTGCGGTGTGGCTACCTACTCTATTTAATGTTATCGATAGCGTGCCCCTCAATGAATGGGGAATGGACCCCTGTCGTATCCCTTGAGGGTTAGAGTGGAGGCACTATTGGCGTTTATCTCTGCACTAAGATCTATTTTAGCTGCACATGTAATCTCGCCTGCGTGGTGGAAGTTTGCATCATACCACTCAATACACCCTCAGGTTGATCTCTGAAGATCTTATCTTTATTAAAATTAGAAGAGTAACAGTCATTAGGAATACAGGATATATGTAAAAGGCTTTGATTGAGTGAATGGGTGTTTATTGTCCTAAAAAGTCTATAACTATGTAAGGACATGTAGGTCCTTTCTGCCTACAGGCCAGGAGTATCTATGCCTCGGGTAGTGTACTCCCTCCTATGCCTCCTTCACAACTTCTTTCCAGCAATAATACCCCCACAGGTCTTCATTCGAGTACACATTAAGAAGAGCCTTTATCCCGTCATTACCTCCCCTCTCCAGCCCGCGAAGCGATGGCCATTTGCGGGTGTGTAGCTGCAGGGAAAAGTCCCAAAAACCACTGAGTGCGGGGCTCTCCTATGACGAAGAGGCCGGCCAGCCGGGCGCAGTAGACCTGTGTATACCTAAGAGCGTCTCTCAACCTTCCTAGCCTCCTCCTTACTCCTCCCCTGATTCATGCCGCAGGACAAACCGAAGGTCGTGAAAAGATGTCAGAAAAGTCTTGGTCGAGAGTGACAGTCGTGAAGGAGCCTAGCCTCGCATCCAAAAGTCGTTACGGACGTGGGGTCGTCGAGTAACTCATGTATTTCAGATGCCCTCCTGGCTAGTAGATTCGGAAGTTATGATTAGTAGGGACGATAATGTAGACGAGTCAAAATCTGCTTTTCTTGAGGGCGGAAGGGTCTTTTACTTTGCTTTCGTGGGCTTTTTGTTCGCCCGCCGGTGGGTAGCACATGTTGTGATGTAACGAGGACCTCTCTGACTACCGTTGTAGCGTTTGGTACCGCATTATCTCTCCTCATTCCCAGCATCATTATCGTCGTCTTTGTCGTCTTTGTCGTCTTATGTTTTATCGGAAGCGTATCTTTGACGGAGGGGGAGATAACTCAGCTCAAAGTTGATAAGGTGTTACTCAATGTCGGCTCTGCAGACTCTACAGTGAGAGCTGGAGGTTCGTAGGGGACACCACTGACAGATGTTGAGAATAGTCCCCCCTAAAGGCTTTGATAACACTGCAAAAGTCTAAATTCAAACTTACAGCACCATAATAGCTCAATGGTTTATTTTAATGACCAGAGAAGAAGATTGTCAGGAAGGCGGTAATAAATTTAAGGAATATATCTCGCAATGCACATCCTGCAACGGCCTTAGACTAACAAAGGATGTTATTAGAAAAAGAGAATGCGCGGTTTATGGATTTCTAAGAGATGTGCAAGCAATAACGACTCAATTCTATTCGACGTGACACAAATTATGTGCTTTTTCACCACCATAACGTTTATTCTCAGTTTCATAGTTTACAAGAAATATACGTCATTTTACCTGCGTTTCAGGGGTAAGAGATACTGTTTGCTTCCCGTTCGGCTTACTGCATAGCAAGGAGGATTATTGGAGGGCAAGACTGAACACCTGTACGCGGTGTCCTCCATGAACCTGGGAGTGAAATATTCTCCTAGAGCCAAGTTCAGTCAAATTTCGCAATACCAAAGAAGTTGGCCCACGAGGCAACGATTCAAAATACTCCACCATGTCAATCTTTCTCTCCCAAAGAGTCCGACCCATACCTAAACCTCATCAAGCCTAAAAGTACGACCTTGTAGATCCTCATTCCAACGATCACACCTCTCGTCGACTTTCTCTGGCCACAGCTGGTCGCCAAATACACGCCCACGCTGATATTTACAGCCGACGGAGAAAGCAAAGCGTGGCGCACAAATCTGGGAGACAGTTCATTTGGATGGGCGTGAGAGGATTCAGGATAAGTTCACAAGATGATGTGAAGGATAGAAACAGTCTTAACGGGCGTGAGATTCTGAATTTTGGCAAGGAGTTTACGAATTGGGCTTTTTGCGTGCCAATACTTCAATTGCGAGAGTGTAGGCGACACTTTAAACACAAGTCAACGATGAAAGGTACCGTGGTACGCCTTCTGGTGGTGTTCTCTGGAATAGTTTGAGTAGCCTGGGTACCTACTCCACTTGGGAAGGAGACGCCTCGACTGTATTTCGCGCGGAGAAAAGTCGAAAGATGGAGGCATGTCTGGATAAATCAGGATTTTTGAGATGTTCCCCCGGGTGGGTATTCACGGATGAGGGTTGACTTGGGTTGAAGAAAAAGCCGCCATAACTTCGCAGTGGTACTTGCAAATGAAATCTGAGGCATGAGTGCTCTTCCCTTACGTTGAATCATCTATTTTGTACTTTTCTTTGATATTGTGTCATAGCTAGAAAGCTGCATACGCAATTAAAGTCTGATTCAAAAAAAAACCTCTCCTATGCCTCCCATACAGCACCCTTTTAACAGTACCACCTCTCACAAGTCCTCATTCGATCACACGCTTAGAGGAGCCCTTTGCCCTTAATTATCTCTTTCCAGCCAACGGAAACGATGGCCATTTGCGGGTGTATTGCAGCCGGGAAAAATCGCAAAAACCCAATGGGTGCGGGACTCTCCTAATACCGACATTACGACCAAATCCGAAGACATAGTGCCCCTTCTGAAGCGTCCGAAGAGGCCGGCCAGCTGAGCGCTGCAGACTTGTGGGTACCTCGGGAAATTCATCCTCTGCCTTTCTAGCCTACTTTCAATTCATTCCCGAAGCTCGTGCTGAAATGTCAGAAAAGTCTTCACCGAACGTGATTGCCGTGTGGTAACTTAGCTCCATGGGAACGTTACGTAGCCGGTTACCGTCTTCAATTGTGTAGCTCTAGATTGAGTAAATGATGTAAATGTCTAACAACTTGAAGGTGTAATGACCTCTCTGCTGTGAAATTAAAGAGGGAATCCGCTATTACAGACATCAAAGTGAGACTGAATGCGTGATACCTCGCCTGTCACAAGCACTGATTACATTGGATACTTGCAAAGTTGTATCATGAACTGAGTTGTATTCTGTGTAGAGATAGAAGAACTACGAAGACGAAATGCTTATCTTCTACATCTCTCGCGTCCCAAATGGGCATGTACATAGGTTATCCTTCAAATAACTCTTTAAACCGACCAGGCCGTGAACTCAAAGTCCTGACAAATGAATCGGATAAGCCGGTTCAAAAGGAAAAGCTTGGGCTTCTGTTAGAATTTTTCTATCCATGAAACCAAAATCCTCGTTCCTCTCGCTTCAAGCAAGGAATATTGTCCGAAATATGAAAAGTCTGGAAATAGTTTTAGGAGCATAATACTACCCAAACATGCTATTAGACTTGAGAAAAGCAACCTTAATCTTCTGGCCGGCTGATAATTTTCGTGCTATATTTTTGAAGTTCCAGGTAAGAGGAAAAAAAGGGGAAATATTGTTTTTTACATGTATGTCCCTGTAAGCAGATATCCTCAACAGAAAAGGAAGATAGTCCGTTAAAAGGTATTTCACGTGGATGAAGAAAGAAAACATATGACACCAACGGTAGAGGCAAGAATTTATTTGAGAATTGAACGCGCTCTATTTTGGCCGTACTATAGTAATATTCAATTCGTAAGTTTCAGATGGATATTTGAGACGTGTAATTTTTAGACTGGTTGTAATAATCATGATTAGAAAAAAGACCTTTACAGAGATGCTTGATTGAAGGTATTGAGTAATCACGTGTCAAATTAACTTGGATATGAAGACTGATATTGCATATAACCTTTTTTGTTTTAGTACAATCTGTTTTGAAATTATAAAGATCTGCATTTTCTTTTAAACTCCTGAAAGTGGTAAACTAGTGATTTACTCATCATCATCATCATCCTCAGCATCATTGTGTACGTTGAAGAATCGGAGCTCATAGACACCTTTTGAGGTGGAGACAACACGAAGCCAATCGCGAAGTTGCTGTTTCTTGAGGAATTTCTTGGTACTATAAATCGTTAGTCATATACCATGTGGGGACGTCTGAAAAAATATAGCTGTGCCAATTGAGAAATTTGTAGGTCTCGCTTGGCTCAAATACTTACAGGTATTTGAGGTAACGACCAGAAAACTGAGTATGAGCAATTACTTCAATTTTCCCATCTCCTATCTGGGAAATCTGGACCGTATCTCCGAGATTTCCGACGAGACCATCGACCTTAATTTTATCTTGAAGGAACTTTTCGAATGCAGAAATATCGAAAATTTTGTCGCTTGCTGGCTGAGAAGCATTGATGATGAACTAATTTAAAGAGATTACCATATGCTCTGCTGAAGTTTCAAAAGACAATGGAATAATGCTTGCACATACCTTATGCGTAACCTTAGCCTGCTTCACCTTTGATGATTTCTATCATGATATATTCTTAGCAATCGATGATACAGCTCACAAGCCAATGATTATTGTGGTGACTAAGTTTAGAACGTACAGTTTGAGGCATTGTGAAAATGGGTCTTTGGTCGCAAAGAAGTTAAATCCTACGCCAGATTATTGATAATTGAGTAGTTGGTTGGTATTATCGATAGCCTCCTATGTTCACTCAAATAAAAAACACTTGGGTGGCATCCACGCCTATTTGTGGCATCTCTCTTCGCTTAGAAGAAAGTGGTACACGTGACCACTCCCCGGATTGGGATAGCTAGTTCTTCCGTGTGTGTATTTGTGTTTATTGTACTGCTTGAGTCTATGACTATCTAGCACATTGGGCTCCCTCTCTGACCCAGGCCACACCTTGTACGGTGCTCCTATCCTCTTTTGTTACTTGAAAGATCATTGATATATTCCCCTTGATGAACAGCCATTCAGCTCAGTGTTTACCCGTGGAATTCAGGCACCTTTTCCACGGAACCTTCTACCCAAAAAAAAAATGGTAGCAATGGATACTGCGTGCGCGGGAAAAAACCCTGCAGCCCCAGCCAGGCGAGGCCTAGACACCGGGACCACATGAGGTGCGCATATTCATCTATATCTCCCTTCTTTGTAACAGTTCAGGTCGACTTGATCCAATCCGTCATCTCCGTATCGGGTGCTAGGTACGCCCCGGAAACTCATCAGATGGCTTTCCCTTCCATGATCAAGGGTTGGTGATGAGTAGGGCTCCGACCCTACCATCTGATCTGATCGTGGTTAGCTTCATGATAATGGTAATAGGGGAATGTGTTGAGAGATGAAGACGATACAGACGGCGAAAACGATTGGGAATCCTCATCGAAGTGAGGATCTTTTTGCTCAATCTCGGCTTTGCAGACTCTACAGTGAGGGCTGGAGGTTCGTAGGGTACACCACTGACAGGTATTGAGAATAGTCCCCCCTAGTTCTTCCGTACACAGCTACGAAAGTATTAAATGAAAGAACTGTGTGATATAACCGATTGTCATCTTAGGAACAATAACCTGTATATAATTTACTTATTGATACTAATTTTGCCAAGAACTAGCCATGGGAGAACCCTTTTGAGATAATAACTCGTAAGAAGTTGCATATAAATATTCATGATGGACGTTTGATAATCCCAACTTCTCATACCGTCAAACAAAAACACCCCTCCGCCAATGAAGCCGTTCTTTGGCTTAGCTGTACAATGCACCCACCTGTCAAGATTGAAGGTTATATTTGACAAGCACATCATGATAAGTATGGTTTAATTGTAATAGTGGAGTCCGAGAAAGCAGAGAGAGATGACTGCACACCTGTTCGTGGTGTTGTCCGATAGTGTAGGCGAGGAATTTTCTCCTAAAATCGTTGTTGGCCATTTTTGGCAGCATCGAAGAACCTGGACCGTCAGGCAGCATTACAAGACACACCACTAAGTCACTCTCTCCTTCTCGACGAGATCGATCCCCATCAAAACCTCAACAAAATTACCGATAAAATATAGCACATCTTAGGTTCAATCCCTACACATTAAGTCAATTCAGCCTTTATCCTGTAGTTACCGGCAAATTTACGGCCACGCCGGTGTTAACACCAAATCTTGTAGACAAACCGTTTTGCATTAATCTGGATGGAAGTTTGTTGGATTCGAAGAGAAAGGAATCAGAATTAATGTGCAAGATGATACAAAGAAAGGATTATGTATATCTGTCTGGATAACTCTGGGTTCATGAGACGCTCCCCTGGGTGGGTATTTATGGATAAGGGTTGATTTGGGGTGAAGGAGATGCCGCCATAACTTCGCAGTTGTACTAGCAAATGAAATCCGTGGCATGAATGCTATTTTTCTGAATAGGGTCATTCATTCTACATAATATTTCTGATATTGCGTCATAGCTAAATAGTCACATACTCAATTAAAGTCGGATGCAAAAAGAGGCTATGATTAACAAACACATTGGAATGTAAAATTTAAACAGCATTACAATCAACGTCAACATCAATATCCACATCTACACCCCCTGACCCATCCCACATCACATTACTCACAACTCTTCGTACAAGAACCTCCAGCCGGTGCAATGGCTATAGATGTTGTATCGTCATCGACATCGACAACGACAACGCTCTCCAATCCAGGAAGGAAACTTCATCTAAGCCTGCATGGTATTGTAAACGCAATGCAAAAAGCAGAACAACAAAGGAAAGAAAGATTGGGTGTAGCCCAGGAACTTCTTAAACTAATCGACTCCTGGGATAAGAGCAAAGGAGAGAAACAAGCAGCAGCAGTTGTCGCGACTCTGCTGGAAAACATCACGCCTGTTATCACTGCCTTCGTAATAGATCAGACAGAAGCAACCAACTTTCCAAGTAAGAAGCCCACCACCATGGCAAGCACTACCAAACCAGTCGCGCCTAGGAACAAAACACATGTGTTGAGGATCACAGTCACGCCCTACCTTCAAAGCCTGGAGAAAATGGCTGAACCTGGGCGACAGTAGTCGGCAAAGCTTCCGACTCCTCCTAATATGCAAGCTCCGAGAGGACCTGCTCCAACAAGCCGCCCTAAGGTACAGACTGTTGTAATGGAAGTTGTATAGAGAAGCTTAAGCTGTTAGACTTATGTTTAATATCACCTAGTGAAGCGAGTTGGGAGATTAAAGAGTCTGAAAACTATAGTAGAGAGTTGTTGATTAAACCCACTTAGTATCAGAGCGCTATTTAAACTAATTACTACATCTGAGTGAAGGACACGATTCACTTGTTTATGCTAAATAATTGGGAGGCTGGTCAATGTATGAGTCGTCATGAATATGGCTAGTAATAATAGAACCTTATTACGTTCCGTATTAATGCGACTCTTCATTGCCAAGTAGCGCCAATTTCAACACAGACAACTCGAAGGAAGACGAACGCCTGTTCCTTCGATTTAGGAGAGATTATCACTGGCACAAGCTATCACCAGTCATAATCAAGAAAACTATAACCGACAAAGCTGGGATAGTAACCTCAGCTATCACTGCCATGTACCCAGTCAGGTCGGATATAGCTCTCGAATGCGTGTCAGATGCATTGATAGACACAATTATCAGAACTGGACTTTTCCTACAGGAAGATAACACTATGACTGAGGCAGCTTCAAAATGGATATCACTTATTGTAGTACATGTGCCAATGTACATCAGGACACTCGAAGGTAGCATCCCAGTTACCAACGAAATGGTAGAGGACAAATGCCAGGCAGTATATGGCGCCGCACCAATCCAGGCACGGCCTACAGAACAAAGCTTGGTCAATATTCAACGAGCTGGATTGTTCATTTCCAACAAAAACCAGCAAATGTTAAGTTTCATCTATTTGACGAGAGCGGGCCAGCAATTCCCTTCTCACGCCGTCAACCGATCGAGCAATGCCAACGTTGCTGGAGATTCCACACAACGCGTTCCTGTACCCGGAGCCAAAGACGTGGAAGATGTGAAAGATGTGGGGGAACCCACGAGACATCAGAGTGCCAGGCCAAGGTGTCAAAGTGCTCGAATTGTGCGGGGCTTCACCACTAGACTGATGGTAGCCGTATGGCCTGTCACCGATCTGAGGACAGGTGCTGGAGCAACCATGTGGATGATAGTAGTAGATAATAATTCCAAGGAGAGAACTACTACAGGATCTATCTACACATTTATATATAAAAAAGAGCCTCATGTTATACGACGTTATTGCACTATCAATTGAGGAGGTTGTGATCGATCTCGTATATTCCCAGCCGATGGCTTCTAACCGACAAGTTGTGCAGTGTTGGGCTGAACTGTCGAATCGGATGCTATGCGGATTCCGATGCTCAGATGTTAGATTAATCGACCGTGCGAACTCTAAATCGGACCAAGGCTATTCTAGCTCTTAAAGGACGTATATAGAATGTAATATAAGTTAATTGGTGTGTAAGTTACAGGTATAAGAATGGCTAGTATACAACGCTAGAAAGTAATGTAAGCGCTACAGGATAAAGTCATGTGACATAAAACAGCGTAAGGCTGACACTTCAACACTAGCCAATATGTGCTACAGGAACCAGCCGTCACATGGACTGACCGAGAAGACAAAACGGGATAATTCTACCTCCCACCTCCGCAGACCTACACATCATCGGAGAACGCGGACATCGTGATTATCGCGCTGCTCTAACGTACTTAGAAAGGGAGGGAAAATTAGTTGGAACTTTCACTGCCTAGTACTTAACAATGCAGTGTTAATCTTAGGAAACCCCTCAACAAAAGCACCAAAAAATAAACACATCATCCTCCACTTTCACCAAGTGAATGTAGGAAGGGATTAGGAAAATACGGATATAGCATTGTAGCAGGAATGGGATGCCTGTGCACATGTAGTCATGGTACAGGAACCATAGACAAGAAAGAAAGAGGGGGGTTTTATCACAAAAAGTCACCCTGGCTATAATAGCCATATACCATTCGGAGGAATAGACATCCGGCCCCGCGCGATTACTATCACGTGCAAAGGTAGTCATGCGACTCAACTATTCCCACCGTTGTCAGGCCTGATGTCTGACTACTATTTTGTAAAGATGGACAGCCTGACCTTTGTCAACGTATATCGTGCTCCGGGCACCATTGGAGCTTTGGAGCCCCTACTCCAGTGGGAAGTTAGAGGTCTAGTGGTTGTTGGAGGCGATTTCAATTCTATCTTACAGTATTGGCAGCCGCTAACAATAAACTAGTACGACAATGGTAGCTAGATCATGGAATTGGAAATAGTCAACGAAATGGACCTAGTCAGCATTGTTGGAGAGCCAACGCACAGGGATGGGAACGTCCTAGATCTAACGTGGAGCAACACGGCC